CCATTCTTCCTGCTAACCGACTAATTGACAATAGGTCTTCTCGAATAAAATAACGAACAACAAGCAAAAACACTTCGTTGTGTATGGACCACTTCGCAAGTCAGTATGGGTGAATCACATTCAAGCGCGAGGTATTGTGTCCTTCCCAAACTCACCCCAAAAGAACCACCAATCAACAAGAAATCAAAAAGCGCATGAAATAACGTGAAATGCTTCGGCATTAAGGTTGATAGGTGTGAAGTAAAAACTTAACACCCATAAGCCTTTGACTAACGTTTCCAGAAGAATGAGATCTTTTACGGACTAACCCTGCTACGACCAATGTTCTCAAACTAGATTTCAAAAAAGATTCGCAGATGTTCTTGATCAAGTACGACTGAGCCTGCTACTTTGCCCGGTTTTCACACTTTTCACGGTCTACTAATAGAAGTATGCTAAAACTTTAATTAACTCAAGATTTTTCCATCTGATATACAGGAAGTACTCGGTTAACATTTGAAGACTCACACCTTGAAATTCATGTAATACTGTGAGATCCAGTTTATACAAACACCGAAATTAACAAAGAAAGAGCTACGAGGCTTTGTTAAAACATAGAAACATGACAAATAATGAATAAAATGTTAAAATGTGTACTGTGAGTAGTAAGCGCGTAATGCGAGGCAATTCCAACTTAATCCATGTTCTCTTCTTCATCAATCTTCGGGGCCAAGTAGAACCGAAGATGACCGTTCTGTTGGCCGGTGGACTTCCCATCATCAGTTAAAGGATATCTAGATAACACAATCTCATTCACTCCGGAGCCTCTATCTTCTCACTTACTAGAGAATAATGCCGTGATTCGAAGAAAAATTTAAATCATAAACTTACTCAACAACTATGGGCACGTCGTTGCTCAGTGATATACGAACACGGCTTGACAGCGACGAAGCTTTCGTGAACTGATTCATGTACTTGATTGAAAAGTTCACATTGACCGGATCTGTCACCTCCAGGGTTACCGCCTAGACAACAGATAAAATCAAGAAATCCTTGGAAACAGGATTTTTTCCTGATGTTACTATAGAACACCATGAATATTGTAAAGGATATGAAAAATGATTACATCGTCCTCGCTATCCGCACTGCTATTTGGTGAGTAGGTAATCACCGACTGACCATTATCACCTTTTCCAGAGAAAACGATACCAGCCTGAAAACTCAGCTTGAGTGATAATATTGCTATATACGCAATAAAAATGATCCAACCTTAGTAGCAGTAACATTGAGTGTGTCTGTGAACATGGTCAAATCCTTGCATGTCTTCTGGAACTCTGAAGCGGGCATTTCGCACACAACGGCATAATCTTGCTCAGGAATGCCCAGATGTTCGCTATCGATATCCATCATTTTTACTGTGACGTCCTAAAAAGCTGCGCCATTTAATGGCCATTATTAACCGCCAATTATGGTACAGAGACCAGAAACTAGTAAGACAGTACATAAAAGCTCTACGTCAACAGAAGCACTATCGGAGCGTTCTACTCACGCAAACACTGACAGCTGTAAATATGGTAGCTTACCTGTGTTTTGTCCCTCTTAGTATCAGCGAATGTGAAGGTAATACTATCGCTGTCGCCTTCCTCATACTTGATCATACACGTGTCGTCATTATTAGCACATTTCAATGCTTTCGACATGTTCGCCAACGACATTCCGAGGTTTATTGTCCTATCACATCGATAGGTATCAAAAAGGCCAACCTGAACATTTCTTTTAACTTTTGATGCTACTTACTGATGTCAACCAGACGTTAGCAACTTAATGAATGGAAAAACTCTGAGGATTCCTTCATTGTTCCTAAATACTGTGGGGTCTAAAGACAACTACCAAAGATAATTCGTGCACATATCATCCCCACAATGGTACACACTTCTAAGCACCTAAGAAGAGGTTGTATTCTGAATCCCTGGCCTACAGAACTATTACATCATACCACTTCATTTTCGTTTTAGAAAGCGAGAATTTCCACCCCTGAAATCATAGTTTTGCCAAGCTGTTCCAGCCAAGCAGTGAAACTGAACGAAAGGGGAAGTTAGAGTCTTCTCCCAAAGCTACCTTCAATCAAAGATAAAGCAGGCTTTCATAAAGTCATCAGTTTTTTTTACAGTTACTTGAGCACGCTGCCTCAGTATAGTAGATATTTGACCCATTATGACCGTCGTTGTGCATGTGTATCGGCATCTTTTTAGTATTTCCCATAACTAGTTATTCG